TTCCGTTTTTGGTTTCACTTTGGTGACCATTTAGGCGAGGGTGCCTCTTGTCTTAAGATAGCTACTAGAAACAATTGAGCAGATTTTGATGAGTCGGAAGTATTTTTGGGCAAAGGAGAACAAATTTAGTGTAAACAGTATGTTGGGTTTCCCCTATAGGCTTGAGCCTTTGGTCAGAAGCATCCTGAGGGGGAGGGGGGCCAAATTTTTGTGTAAATGGAGGATCTTGGCCCCTTGGGGACAGAAGATTGGGGCCCAATAGCGACAACATGTATATAGCAAAGTAAGCGTTCCTTTCACTTTCATGTGATATTTATGAAACTTGATTTTAGAAAAAACTATTGGTATGGTATACTATCACAGGGGCCTGTAACAATGTTTCTGGGGAATTAGGGCTTGTAAGGTAAACTATCACAGGGGCCTGTAACAATGTTTCTGGGGAATTAGGGCTTGTAAGGTATACCATTACAGGGGCCTGTAACAATCTATCACAGGGGCCTGTAACAATGTTTCTGGGGAATTAGGGCTTGTAAGGTATACTATCAAAGGGGCCTGTAACAATCTATCACAGGGGCCTGTAACAATGTTTCTGGGAATGAGGGCTTGTAAGGTATACTATCACAGGGGCCTGTAACAATTGTAATGAGGACTCTTGTGAATTGATATACCCTGGTACGTTTATTAGTAAAGGGGACCAATGAAATACCAAAGATAAATTCAATGGCTTCTTAAAGTCACTGGTTTTTGGCCAGTAAAGTATTTAGAGGTACAGTTAATTATACTTTATATAGGAATATTACATTACAGGGGCTGATGGGTAAGACCAAAAAAGGTCAAATTGACTAAAATTTCAAAAATCTTCTTCTCAGTACCCAGATATGATAGAATCAAATAAATACATGTACTCTTCATGGATACAAATGTTTATACAGGGCAATAACAGTTTGAGTGTAATGTACTTTAACACAAACATGGTTAAAAAAACTTAAGTGGGATGAAAGTAATGGTATGCACAGTTTACATTTGCATTACATGTACAATGTATTTCAAGATATCTTACTTTATTAGCCCACCATCATCAGATGTATTTCTATAACATGTTACATATAACAACATTGTAACTCAAAGTATATGTTATGACAAATTATCAATGGATTTCATTAAGAGTGTACAGTAAGACAAATTAGCAATGGATTTCTCTAAGAGTGTATGGTAAGACAAATTATCAATGGATTTCTCTAAGAGTGTATGGTAAGACAAATTAGCAATGGATTTCTCTAAGAGTGTACGGTAAGACAAATTATCCATTGATTTCTCTAAGAGTGTACGGTAAGACAAATTATCAATGGATTTCTCTAAGAGTGCACGGTAAGACAAATTATCAATGGATTTCTCTAAGAGTGTACGGTAATACAAATTATCAATGGATTTCTCTAAGAGTGTACGGTAAGACAAATTATCAATGGATTTCTGTAAGAGTGCACGGTAAGACAAATTATCAATGGATTTCTGTAAGAGTGCACGGTAAGACAAATTATCAATGGATTTCTCTAAGAGTGTACGGTAATACAAATTATCAATGGATTTCTCTAAGAGTGTATGGTAAGACAAGTCCTGAAACAACCTGGAATAGAGACTGCTAAAGCTTCACAATAGTTTACCGCTCAGAGTCATGAATATTTCACATAATCATCGTCATAAATATCCTAACACAACTTTGTACAGATTTATTAGTCAAGTTTTGCTATTCAATGACAATAACATCTGAAATTAACACTCAAATTTATGTTGAACTTGTCTGGAATGGTAAAATTATCAGGTTGTTTTTCTGGTGCTGTTCTGAAACTAGATTAGGAGCGACAGGAGACAGGATGTCGTGTAATCCTACTGCCAATAAACTATTGTCATACTGTGAGATCTAAAGAGTCCCCTATTATGATAAATCTGGTGATGTATTTCTTGTCAGATTACACTGCTAAAATGTCTTCAGGTACAATAAAAACAAGACACATCTGGTTCATGGACGCCTGAGAGCAGTCATCTTCAACTTTATACAAATCTGCTAAAGTTTTATTATCATAACAAATATCTGTGTTGTAGTCAAAGTAAAATTCAAAATAAATAAGTGCTGTACAGTTTATAAATGAATTATTTTCCCATTTAAATTTTTCATCAAAACATTATCCAAAAAAAAAAATTTAAAAGGATATCAATATATTGTAATACATTGTATGAGTATACAAGTTATATGCTGAATAATAAATGACATGTACCAATTCATTGAAAAAAGAATAAGAAAAAAAAACTTTAAATTAATTTTATTGTATAGTTATCACATTGGAATATCTTCAGTTGTCTTATTTCAGCCATGATAGTTTCAGAAAATTGATTTGAAATTTTAAAAGAAATGAACAGAAGTTAAGAAATATTTTTATGATTCTAGCATTTTTCATATTTGCGAAGGTCATGATATGGCAGTTATTATCTTCACCTGATAAAATCTGGTGAATTGGTGACACTGCACTTTTTGTCACCTTTATTCGTCTTTTTCTTAAATTGATTCTTGTAACGTCCTTATATACGAAAACCTAGTGTTTCTTTAGACAATTATTATTATTACAGTCTTACCAGCCAGTCAACACATAGAAGGACATTATAGGGCCATCAACTGGTGAAGTACAATGAATTAGGTTACTGTTATAACTGTTATACATTTTCACCCAGGTTTGTGCTTGAAGGCAGTTTGATTTTAAATGTAACAATCTTATATCTTCATAGTCTTATCAAAAACACTTTACTGACATATCTGGCTTTGATATATAGATCTTCAGAGCGAAAATCTGTACTCTAGGCCAGATAATGACAAAAGCGATAAAAAGGATGATAATCTCTCTTGTTAATTGTTAAATATCGTGTGTGATGTGTACCCTGAAGATTCATTTGTTCGAGGTGGGAATGTACTATATAAAATGATAAAACCCTGATGCTCCTAGAAAACTTAATTTACATAAGGATTTGTGAGGTATGAACAATTGAAAATTTAAATCTTTTATTTGATTAAATGTGTGCTGGAGTTTGGTTTATTGTAGTTCATAATATTGTACAGCTTAATCGGCCACTTTCCCAAATGTATTTGATAAATGCTTCACAGTTAGGGATAGGACAAGTCCTTTATTTGCAGAGTTTTGGCCCTTTGTTGATGTCCATTATCTGGGTCATAACTGCTTTATTGTTTGGTCAGGGTAGTGAAATGTGCTCTTTAGACAAATATCAACAGGACAGGTTTATGTACCATGTAGTACCTGGTTTTTATTAGCCAACCATCATCAGATGGTGGGATATTCAAATCGCCCTGCGTCCGTGGTCAGTCCGTCCGTCCGTAAACAATTTTTGTTACCGCTATTTCTGGGAAAGTACTGGATGGATCTTTCTCAAATTTCATATGCAGGTTCCCCTTGGTCCCTAGTTGTGCATTGTACCTTTTTTGGACTGATTCGCATTCAAGATGGCCGACAGGCGGCCATCTTTTATTTTGAAAGTAAAAGTTTGTTACTGCTATTTGTGAGAAAGCACTGGATGTATCTTTCTCAAATTTCATATGCAGGTTCCCCTTGGTCTCTAGTTGTGCATTGTACCTTTTTTGGACTGATTCACATTCAAGATGGCCGACAGGCGGCCATCTTTTATTTTGAAAGTAAAAGTTTGTTACTGCTATTTGTGAGAAAGCACTGGAGGGATCTTTCTCAAATTTCATATGCAGGTTCCCTTTGATCCCTAGTTGTGCATTATACCTTTTTTGGACTGATTCGAATTCAAGATAGCCGACAGGCGGCCATCTTTTATTTTGAAAGTAAAAGTTTGTTACCGCTATTTCTGGGAAAGTACTGGATTGATCTTTCTCAAATTTCATATGCAGGTTCCCCTTGGTCTCTAGTTGTGCATTGTACCTTTTTTGGACTGATTCGCATTCAAGATGGCCGACAGGCAGCCATCTTTTATTTTGAAAGTAAAAGTTTGTTACTGCTATTTGTGAGAAAGCACTGGATGGATCTTTCTCAAATTTCATATGCAGGTTCCCTTTGATCCCTAGTTGTGCATTATACCTTTTTTGGACTGATCCGAAATCAAGATGGCCCACAGACGTCCATCTTGGATTTTGAAAGTAAAAGTTTGTTATCGCTATTTCTGGGAAAATGCTTGATGGATCTTTCTCAAATTTCATATGCAGGTTCCCCTTGGTCTCTAGTTGTGCATTGTACCTTTTTTGGACTGATCTGAAATCAAGGTGGCCCACTGGTAGCCATCTTGGATGTCAACAGTAATACAGTAGTTTGTTATGACTGTGATAGGATCCTTCTCAAATTTCATATTTAGCTTCCTCTTGGTACCTAGTTAAGCATTTTCCCATATTTAGAATGATCTGAAAAACAAAATGGCCTATAGCTCTCCATCTTGGATTTGAACAGCGAGTAATTGTTTTATGGCTATTTCTTACCTACATGATTAGTCATTCTCAAGTATCAGATTTTCTAAATTAAGTAAACATTGATAAATACACTGTTTAGGGTATGTATACTAAACCATGCAATGAATTGAGTTAATGGCATATGGGTTGACACATGAAAAGTAACAGAAGAATTGATTTATTAAAAATGTTGATAATTCCTAATATTTAAGTGTTTTTGTTGCAAAAACATTAATGTAATAAAATAAAATATAAAATTTAAAAAACAAAAACAAAAAAAATAGACAAATCTTCAAGAACTGAAAACAGATCCTCAAATGGTGGGCGCCAAGATCCCTCTGGGATCTCTTGTTTCATTTTATTTCACTTTTCAAACCAGTAAATAACAGACATAATATTCATTTACTTATCAATTTGAAAATTTTACCACCTGCCACTCTAGCATTTGTGTTGCTCCAGAAGCTGTGAACAGACCTGTCTTCCTTGTTAAGTCTTCGGGCTAAACACTTTGTCCCTTTGTTCAACTTGGCATACAATGGGCCTTCCACATGATGTTCATGAAGTAAGTAGCCTCACAAGCTACTACAATGGACACCTCATTATGTCTGTAAACCTTTCCCAATGACATAGCCTCACAAGCTACTACAAGGACACCTCATTATGTCTGTAAACCTTTCTCAATGACATAGCCTCACAAGCTACTACAAGGACACCTCAATATGTCTGTAAACTTTTCTCAATTACATAGCCTCAAGCACTGATGTAAATGTAACGCTGTTTACGATATTTTCACTCTGATGTAGATGTAGACACTGTTTACACACTGATGTAGATGTAACTGCTGTTTACGATATTTTCACACTGATGTAGATGTAGACACTGTTTACACACTGATGTAGATGTAACTGCTGTTTACGATATTTTCACACTGATGTAGATGTAGACACTGTTTACACACTGATGTAAATGTAACGCTGTTTACGATATTTTCACACTGATGTAGATGTAGACACTGTTTACACACTGATGTAGATGTAACTGCTGTTTACGATATTTTCACACTGATGTAGATGTAGACACTGTTTACACACTGATGTAGATGTAACTGCTGTTTACGATATTTTCACACTGATGTAGATGTAGACACTGTTTACACACTGATGTAGATGTAACTGCTGTTTACGATATTTTCACACTGATGTAGATGTAGACACTGTTTACACACTGATGTAGATGTAACTGCTGTTTACGATATTTTCACACTGATGTAGATGTAGAACAGCCTTTTACATTAGATCAGTATTACATACACTATTTTCACTTTCATGCCTAATATCATTTGTATCATTACAGATATTGAAAGTAGGAGTGACTGTTGAACGTTATGTAAGCTTCAGGAATGCTCGACCATGGGTGACACATGCTTACAAGAATGTGAAGGGAAGAGGAGTTCGCCAGACAACTGAGGTATTGGCAGAAAAAACACTCAGACATGTCTGCAAATTTCTTATTCCATAATGTACATGTGAGGGATTAAAATCTTTAAAAATTTAGTTGGAAATATGTATCATTGACAAGTTATTGGAGATGTGATAAGGATTAAGTGTCTGCAAAGCAAAAGTAATAGGATTTCTCTGGAATTGGTGTCTTCCCAACTTTATGTATGTATTTCTGATTTGTGCGGATGAAATGTGTGTTTCTGGATGATCATAGAAAAGGCTTTTGATTTTAATGAAACAATTTCACATACTAAAAAATAATACAACCCATTCTAAACTGAGATCTGTACTGAAATATACTCAAGGGATAAAGAAATGCAGGACAAACTTTGAAGATTATTCTAGGCAAGACGTCGAGTATAATGTTCAATATTTTTAAGTAAACATGAAGATTAATCCATACAAAACAAAATGCAAAATCAACAATTTGTATCTGGCAAGTGATTTAGGAGTAATTGAAGGAAATTGAAAGAGAACTCTGTAATCTGAAATCGAAATGGACTGATTGTGGGAGATGGCTAGTCAATACCGGGTATGTCCCCATTCACTCCACTCCACAGTCCTGATTCTCCTAGGCATGGAGTTCATGAAAGACTTGACTTCTTCATTGGGATGTTAGTCCATTCTTCCAAGAGGGCTGCTTTCTGATGGACCAGAGTAACAGGGAGAGGCTGGCGTCGTCGAGCTTGTCTATCCAGCTGGTCCCACAAGTGCTCAATAGGGGATAGGTTGGGGCTGTATGGCAGCCAGTCCAGTGGGTGGATATTGTTGATAGTGAGAAAGTCGTGACAGCTCCTCGTTTTACATGGGGCAGAACATTATCCAGCTGGAATGTGAGGTTGTTTTGCTGCAATGATGGGACAACACTGGGTCAGAGGATCTTATCTCTATACCTAGTGGCAGTTTAAGTTACCCACTACCATAACAGTGGTGACTGAACTCCATATGAGATTTCTCCCCACACCATAAGCAATCCACCCCTTATACTTATCCGTCTCTTCCACGTAGCAATCGGCAAAATGTATACACAAATTTTACCATTTGCTTGAAACAATGTGAACCGGGACTCCTCTGTAAACAAGACCCACCTCTACTGCCTCAATGGGAATTTTTTGGTACATGTGCTGCCACCCAAGCCATATGACACTGCCAACAAGCAGCAGTAATGGACAGACAAATTGGGGACATGCTTGCAAGCAAACTTCCTGCAATTGTTTCCTTACAGTTTTTGCATGGATAAGACAGTTAGGAGTACCTTTGGTATTTGGTATTCAATGGCAGTAAGATGTTGATTGCACAAATATGCGAGACATATATACACTTATCCTGATATTGTGACGTCACATGCGGATGGCCAGACCTAGGTCTCTCAGCAACCCAACCAGTTTCCCTTAGATGTCTAACAAGACGTTCTATATTTCAAAACTTGACCGTGAAATGTTTGGCAACCTGTATTTGCCTTTGACATTGCATAATCCTCACAATGGCCTGACACCTCTGAACTTCCGTCAGCCGTGCCATTGTTTAATGCTATCAGAAATTAATCAAAATATTGGAAAATGATGTGTCTGTATGAAGACTACCTAATGGTATGATGAGCAGTGTAACTCAATGTCACAACACTGCTGTGCACGAGATTTTCCCGTTTTAAGCTTTCCCTGGAAGACATTGTCAAGCAATACAATAATGCAACATTTGATACGGGACCACCAGCACTGTAACCTAGAGAGTTTCTTGACCGATTTTCATTGTTTTTGAACAATCATTTGCAAGATATTGCAATTAATGTCACCCTGCATTTCTTTATCCCTTGAGTATATTTTGAAATATCTCTTACGTAAATTTTCTTTGGTCCTTGATTGTGTTCTTTCATTTAATTTTTAGACTTATCAGAAAAAGAAAATGACTGACAGGCAGCCATCTTGGATTTCGACTGATATACTTTGCTATGACTCTTCCTTGAAAAGTTTCTGAATGAATCAATCTCAAATTTCGTATAGAGGTTTCTATAAGAACCTAATGGTGCTCAGTCACTTTTTAGCTAAAGTAACTGACAAACAGTCATGTAGGATTTGTAGTTTATAAGAATTCATTTGTAGGTTCCCTTAGTCCTTTGATAAGTTTAATTGTAGATGGAGATTTTGTTTTTTTACTGTAGGTTTCACTTGTTTATTGATGTTATCAGATGATTAATTTACTTGTGAATACAACTTAAAAATCAGGAGGCAACTGAAGAAAATCCAGAGTGATCATAAAAAATTCAAAGTCTAGAGGGTGCACTTACACCATAATTGAATAAATTTGACAGATATCTGATAATTTCAGCACAACCTCAAGTGCATGTGTTTATTCTGAACTCTGCCACAATTTCAAAGCAATTAAAATGTGGCGTGCAGGTTATGATTAACCTCAGGGACTAAAAGTCCAATAGGAAAGTCTTATAAAATAGTTTTAAAAAAGGGAAATTAAGATCCAAAAATTGAAAACCACCATAAAGATCATACAAATGAACACCAAGATCCTTCAGGGATCTCTTTTCTGGAACTATCCACACACTGAATTGCTGCTAGATCTAAACACAGTTTGTATTATAGAGAAGACCAGAAATGTCAAATTACTAACACACTACAGAAAACAGACTGTCAATCTTAGCCCACTTAGGCTTAGAAAGGTTTAGCTTAACGTAATTTATATGAGTCAAATAGGACTTCATGCATAATGCACACATTACATTTTGATCGGTATATGACAGAAGAGGGATAACTCTTACTGAAAAAGTGACAAATCTATGAGTCTTTTTTTTTCAAAAACAATTTTTTCATTTACAAGCAAAATAAAAATTATTCTGATTAGCAATATATGGGTTTTTTTTTCATTCATTTAAAGAAATTATGAATACTGTGTATTGAAGGCAGACAACAAAAATTTTTTTAAATCCTTACAGGTGGATGATGCTGACAGTGAGTCTCTCCAAGAGCTTTTGTCAAACCCTCTTGGCTACCGAAACACTAGCGTCCCAGCTCCAGGGCCAACAGGGGATGCTACTCCGATCCTTGAATCAACAGGCATAACCTCCACAGTCACAGCATTGACCTCTGACCTGAAGGATAAAACTAGCACGAGTGATGAAGTAACAGCTTTCAGTACCACAGAAAATCAACAAGATTTGAAAGAAAGTGGACCGACATCATCTGGTTTACAAAGCCTAGATACCACTGTACTGGACAGAGGTCATCAGTCAGGTGAGGAAACATCAACCGTCAATCTAGGAGAAAGTGCTGGGCGGCCAAAACGAGTGAGGGAGCAAACGAAAACAAACGCCTCTGCAGTAAGCAGCACGGCCACACCCAAACCAATTAGGTAGGTGAAGGAAATATTTTTCCTTTAAAATTCAAGATTGAATATTCTGTTAAAGAAATTAACACATATTTTTTGTGTGAAAGAAACCTTGTTCATTACTTCAATCACAGCAAAGTCACCACAAATTATGTGGTATTGCTAATTCATGATGTTGATGTTGATGAAAAGATGGGAGAGACACCGAAACAAATTAGAAGCTATTCCAATGAAGAGTGAATGGTGGAACAATTAATTATGATATAATATAATATTATGATTATTATTATATAAAATGAGATGTTTTTGATAAACATGATTTATTATGATTTGAGATGCAATATGTGCAGATATTTTTAGTAACATACTGGAAGTATCTTAAGTGTGTAATCAGGTAAATAGGTCATCAATGTAGGTCTGTGTTATTACAGTACTTACCAGAGGGTGAGACTGATCTGTTCTCCGTGGAGGAAGCCAGAAGGAAACCTTAACAAACCCTTGTTTAAAACCATGGTCGAGTCAATGATGTTCAAAATAATGGCTTCCCCGGGCATCAGTTTCCAAACCTTGTGTGACAACTATACCCCATTCAACCCACCCTTCTTAAAACAACAGATACTCCAGGTACGTCATCACAGCCCACCCTTCTTAAAACAACAGATACTCCAGGTAAGTCATCACAACCCACCCTTCTTAAAACAACAGATACTCCAGGTACGCCATCACAACCCACCCTTCTTAAAACAACAGATCCTCCAGGTACGTCATCACAGCCCACCCTTCTTAAAACAACAGATACTTCAGGTAAGTCATCACAACCCACCCTTCTTAAAACAACAGATACTTCAGGTACGTCATCACAACCCACCCTTCTTAAATCAACAGATCCTCCAGGTATGTCATCACAACCAACCCTTCTTAAAACAACAGATCCTCCAGGTAAGTCATCACAACCCACCCTTCTTAAAACAACAGATACTCCAGGTACGTCATCACAGCCCACCCTTCTTAAAACAACAGATACTCCAGGTACGTCATCACAACCCACCCTTCTTAAATCAACAGATCCTCCAGGTATGTCATCACAACCAACCCTTCTTAAAACAACAGATCCTCCAGGTATGTCATCACAGCCCACCCTTCTTAAAACAACAGATACTCCAGGTACGTCATCACAACCCACCCTTCTTAAATCAACAGATCCTCCAGGTATGTCATCACAACCCACCCTTCTTAAAACATCATATACTCCAGGTAATTAAGAACATAAATGTTACAGCAGATGCTGTATGTAGGTCAACAGATTTGCTACATGTTAACAGTTCCTAAACATTGCTCCCATTCAAACACTCCCATTAAATAAGGCATTATATATTGCATACCCTGAACAAACCATCATGTTAAGTATATTGTCCTATAAAGACACACTGAATTGCATGTGTACCAATTTATACTTTTCAGATTCTGGAAGACATCAAGGCTATTGAAAAGAGCATTATAAGACGACAAATCAAGCCAACTCTCTTTAGTAAGCGTGTCAGTCCACAACCAGGTAAACTAATGGTTATGACATAAGAATCTTTTTACCACTGGCTCTAAACTTCCCTTATCTAGCAGATAAGAGGATTAACCATCCCATTGGTCTAAATGACTTTTGCAACATGAAAAAGCAATTCTGGACAACTGGTATATGCCGAAGCAGGCCAGCACTAAACAGGGAAGAGGGGGAGATGGGCCACCTACCTTACACATCTATGTCCATGTGTTAATCAAAGCATAGCTGATTTGACTGCAATTCATTTTTACAATCTTGTGGTTTTTTTTGTCTTTAATCTGTCTACCATCTCATCACACTTAATGTACATAGGATTATAGTACAGTCCAAAAAGTTGATTGATTCCTTAAATACACTACATACGTCAGTGCTTGTACTCTCCACACTGGAAGGTGATCGTCCAGTCATTGAAACCTCATACGCAAATTTTCTACTGGTATTATTAGAAGAACTTTTATTCTATTGACATTAACATCCTGAAGAAAATGTTACAAAATACTGAAGCAGATGTTTACATTTCATATCTGTCATTTATCACATTTGATACATCATTCAAACTTTATCAATTAGTCAATACAGTGACATTTTATTATTCTATCACTGGAAACCAGAGGGTTTTGCACTGTGTTCTCTCCATCCTTCAACTGTCTTGTCTTGGCCTGCACTTCTACACAACTAATCACGGGAACATAATACAAGGGATATGGTTTAGATGGTGTGTCGCATTTTGATCATTTTCACCTTTGACCTTCATAAAAAAATTATTTCCTCTTTATCTCCTCTGTTTGTCACTGGAACTTCATACTTGGGGTGTGGGTCTTACTTTGGTTAGGTGGTGTGTCAGAGGGGATTGTAATTGTCTGGTTATTCTTGTTGGACATTGACTAATTACATTTCATCTCATACAAAGGGCTAGATATGGTTTCAGCCTTTTTTGGCTCCCAATTTAAATCAATTTCTGAAACTTAAAATCAAACTCTTGCATACCTCTATTTACATGTGTACCACTGTAATGAGATTTATTAATATTTCTGCTATGTTGCTATAGTAACTACCTCAAAATTGCATGAATTTGGGAAATGTGGATATATATGTTTAGATTATACTTGAACAAAATTTATTGACATGTAGGTGCCTTTATATATTTAGTTTGTTAAGGAATGTGCTTTAGAGAAAACTGTAAAAATCGACAAATTGGCTGAATATTGAAATTTCCTATATTTCATGCAAATTTCAATTTGCTATGGCAGTCATGGATGGAAAGACAAATGAATTTATAATTATTATATCCGGGAATTTTTCAAAGTGAGAGAAGCAGGTATTTGAAAATTTAATTTAAATATTATGAATTTTAGAACAGTTTTCAGAAAGACAAAGAAAATGGAGTTTTTGCTGTTCTAGCAGTAATGAAAATAAGGTTTTAACATTTAAGGAATTATAAAGAAAAATTATTATTACTGGAAGTCAAAATTTAATGACAACACATGCAAGGTTTTTATTTATTTATTTTTTTTTTTCTTATTTGAGTTTCATTTGATTGCTTTCAGGTAAAATACATAAAGAAAATGATACAGTTGTGTACTTCCCAACCAAAGTATGCATAACAAGACTTGGACAGTTCATGGAGTACATCAGTAACTGCTGATGTCACAAACATTGGATACTGGGCAGTTCATGGAGTACATCAATAACTGCTGATGTCACAAACATTGGATACTGGGCAGTTCATGGAGTACATCAGTAACCGCTGATGTCACAAACATTGGATACTGGGCAGTTCATGGAGTACATCAATAACTGCTGATGTCACAAACATTGGATACTGGGCAGTTCATGGAGTACATCAATAACTGCTGATGTCACACACATGAGATGCAGGACAGATTATGGACTACATCAGCATAAGTTTATGTCCTACACAATTGATGCTGGCGGTTTTTATGACATACATCTGTAAATGTTGATGTTACCAGAAGTCATGTTATTTAATGTATCACTGACACGTCTGAGCTTTTATAGGAAAATAGAGAGGAGTAAGGATATTTAACAATCGGACTACATTTTTTATGCCATTTAACTGAATTTTTGCCGTAGAAATCTTATTAAAAAGATATGCTGTTTATTTTGTCATGTTTTATTTGATATGTTCTTGTTAAGCAGAATTAATCCACAATTTTCTGGGGTTTGTTTTATTTTATTTGATATGTTCTAAATGATAGGATTGCATTCCGACATACAATGATGAACAGTAAATATGTATGTAGACAGCATATCAATAATTTACAAGTAATAACCACACATTACTTACTGGTCCTGTTATAATTTTATTATAAAGCAATACACATTTTTAAAGATATCATTCACAGCAGAGTAGGAAAAAATAGACAGTGAAATGACAGAATATACTACAATGATGTATATATATAGTATGATGAAATGACAGAAACTATTTCCAAAGATCAGAAGTAATCATGAACATGGTATAATGATTATCCATAAAAAGACTTTCGAAAATGTGTCTGTGATCTTGACTCCAACTTAATCATGATTTCATATTCCATACTCTGTCGGACTACTTATATAAAATCAAAGTGATAGTGATGTTATCTGAATTCTGACACACTATCTCATTCCTGATGAATTTGTACTTAACTATCCAGTCTAACACCAAAGTACTCCAGGACTGGTCAAAAGATTCAAATTGACATGTCACTAATTTCAAAAATAGCAGACAATTCAAAAATTCAAAATGACAACAGATCCTAAAGCAGGGATCTTGGCCCTTTTGTATTTCTGATGTGTACAAAATCAAAAGGGCACACTGTGGACCCAGGGACATTTGCTAACAAAATTTTAGAAAGATCTGTTCTGCATTTCTCAATCGCAATAACAAACTTTCATTGTCAAAATTTAACATTCATATAATACTTTTCAAGAAATGGAGTATCCATAACAAGAACGGTTTAAGAATTGACAATGAACACAAAACAAATTGACAAGAATATAAAAAAGATTTCAACAGAAAATCAGAAATCAAAGAAACAAATCTTTTCTTAACTAAAAGCACAAAGTGCAAAAAAAGCATGCAAACAAAATAAAACACATTTCTAATCTAAGGATTTATAGGTTTACATGTTTCAATGTACTACATACATCATCATCAGGTTCCGATGACGACGTACCTAGATATGACCAAACAAAATAAAACATATTTCTAATCTAAGGATTTATAGGTTTACATGTTTCAATGTACTACGTACATCATCATCAGGTTCCGATGACGACATACTTAGATATGACCAAACAACATCTGACGGAAGGTTCAGAAGGATTTATTGGTTGTCTGGTCATATCTACCATTAATTTTGATTACTCTTTTGGACCTGGACTCTGTATTGAATTAGGGATCCATCTCAACAAGACTATCAAAATTTTTAGAAGATTTTCTGCTGGACCTTGTACCTGATTTTCATTGTATTGTTGTATTTTGTTATCCTAATAAGCATCACCTTTGCCACACAATCTTGGGCACTAACTATAGGAAATATGGTACAATATTTATATCACCAAAAAATGGCACTACAATGATAAAGGCCCTTGCATTAGTGCAGCAGGCCCTTACAAATGTAACCTAATTATAACACTAGATCTTCTTACTAACTTATCACAAAGGGATGATACATGTACATGCAAAACATTCCAAACACATGGTCTGTACAAAAGTCTGATAGTAAACTATGTAGAGTATTATAACAGCATTTTCATAACAGTCAGCTTACTGTCTGACAGTACAATAATGTACATACAGTACATAAAAGATATATAAATGTTATTTGTATTGTTTACAGGAAAACAATAACATTAGTTAATGAGAACCATTACAACAAATAAAATCAATCAGTTACAGATTACTTGTAAACACATCTTATACAATATTTATACATAATCAAGTACATTAAGACAGATCAAAACAACTGTTTGTTAAACATGTGAAGCCCTGTAAAATTCCTTGTTTTACAACAGATCACAAACGGATCTTGGTACTCCCCATTCAGTGATCTTTGTCACTTGTATCTTTTCAATCAGTTTTAAAATTAAATCTTAGAGGGGCCAAACAGATTATTGAGGCTAATATTTTACCAGGGTTACATCTTTATAAAGTTTCAGAATGATTTATCCAAGATTTCTAATAGCAACAACAATTCAAAACTTCAAAAATCCAAAAATTCCATCTTTCAGATTTATCCAAAAAATTGATCACACACAGCTATTACTACAGAAAATCTACTTATGAAAATATTTATGAAATCTGAGAGAGATTAATTCCTTACTTCTCAGAAAATAGCAATGACAAGTTCTACTGGTCAAAACTGAAGAGTACTGCCTGGAGGCCATTTTGTTTTTCAGATAATCAATCCAAAAAAGACTATTAAATTGGACTTCAGTATATCAAGCCATATGAAATTCAGTTATTTTCACATCCCTTGATGCCAGCATGAGTATCAGATTTCTTGGTTAATCTGCTTGGATCCAAATCACCATGAACATTGGTAATGGCCATTTTGAACAAACTTTATAATGATAATTTCATTCCAGCTGTTCCTGGACAAACATTATCAACCTGAGCTTCTTGGTTATTCAAAATCAAAAGTTGTTTGAAGAGAAAAGTGCATGCAGACATAGAGAAGACATACCTTTTGACATGCAGAAGTTGTGTAAAAAGACGTTTGGACAAGCAGATGTCGAGTGGACAACTTTTTTGACAGAGGCAGACTACAAATACATCTACAAAACTGGTTTTAATGAAGCTAGCTATTGTACAATTGCCTGCACCAAAGACAATACAGATACATCTACAGAACTGTATTTCTCAATACAATACACCATTTTGGCATTGTGATCTAATCGCCAACCAACTCCAGTTCATGATAACCATCAGACATCTCCAATAAACATCAGATCAACCCCTCACTTGAACTCTGACCCATCAGATATTTTCCTCTACCAGATTTTCATAGCTTTAAGGGTTTATAAAAGTATGCACAACAATTCATTTGGACAAATATTGCTGATTTTTAAAGAAAGGATTAAATATCCGCTCCAATAGCGACAAAAATCTTGTTTCGAATAATGTCAGTTCACAGGTCTTCCTATACTTAATCAAAACAAGTGGTCTTATCTTTACTACTACTCCACATCATATGCAATGTTTATCCTAGCCTTTCTGGGAAATTGCCACCTGGCAGTAAACGAGAATTTTTCGTTCAGTAAAAGTGCACATGGAAATGGGATAAAAAAGTGAATATCATTTGTTAAATTTCATGTCCTAATCTAAATAGAATCCCTGATTTAATGATTCTGGGAATTTTTAGGAATTAACTAGGAAAAATAAATTATCAAAATGCAAAAGTTGACATGGGGTCTAAATATGCACCGATTGAAAAGGCAGGAAAAACACTGATATAAACATAACATTGATCAAAGTGTCCAAATTACTTTTTCTTTTTCCACATTATCAGTTTAGCAATAGGTCTTGTAGCAATGATTAAATCAAGACCCTTGGAATCAGTGTAAACATCATAAGGCCCAATATTGCGGTTGATCGCCAGGACAACTGGTCTGTCAAGTCCCGAGTATCTTCGAAAAGTGTCCACCACCACATGTCCTGTAATGTCATTGTCTGAGGCACTACATATCCGAACATTTCCTATCCTTGGCAGTGTCACCATACCAGGTGAAGTGATGGTTTTACATAACAGATTTTCCTCAGATTTTTCTACCTGTTCTTTGCTGATACAGTCAAGTGCTCTGGGAATGTCTGCTTGTCGTGAAAACAAAATGGCTACATCTTCATAGTGGTAACCTTCCGACAGAACACTGTTCAGGAAGTCTCCGATTTCTTGAAGATACTGCTCAACATTAGACAAGAGCTTTTCCTCGCAGACAACAGCCTCTCCCTTAAAGTTATGGACAGTCGTGATTTTCTCAACAGCAGTTTTGTATTTCGGATTCTCTGCATACTTGATAGCATTTTTAGCTACACTATGAGAGTTTCTTAAGATCAAGTCCAATTTTATTTTGTGATCAAATCTGTTCTTGATGAATTTCATACAGCCTCCATCATCTCTACAGTACTTGTGATCCCCATAAAACACCCAGAAGAGGCTATATTTGTTTGACCTTTTCTTCTTCCATAGATAATGGAGGAAAGCAAACCATCCTTTATCCTTGGACACTGCACAGATCATCTGAGCATCGTCAATGATGAAGTGTTTGATTTTTCTATACATTACTTTTCTGTCTGGATCTTTCAGGTCATCCTTCAAGCAATCAGGTGTTAATGCTACACAACGTTCCATTTTTCTGTAAATACAAAACATTAACAGTCAGTAAAATGATCTAAACCCTATCAGCAATCAGTCATTAAAAAAACTCATCCAATCAGAGGAAAGCTTGTGAAATTGTACAAAATAACCAGACTGCATTATTCCCTCCCCAAGTGAATGATAAGTGAATGATACCCAATGATAAAATTTATGTGCGGTGAAACAAACTTGTCAAACCAATATATCCCCGAGTAATGGGACTTCTGAATCTGAAAATCTGAATACTGTAATTTGGAATGCCGTAAAAATATACAAAAACTACTGACCAACACAGACTTTACATTCTATATATAATGTATATTAATTCTGCAGGGCTTATATTTTGCAGTTGTCCATATTTGGGCTTGTTTACAGGTACCAAGTTTTGTAATTAGCATTAGTATTTATGTATGATTAATGAAGTCAATACAAGTAAATTATCTGATTTTCAAGGCAATCTGCCCCTTTATCAAGTCACCAAAACATATATCATTTAAAGTTACATCACATACAAAGAACATAAAACAAATACAAAGATCTTAACTATAATCGAGAACAGTGGTGAAAATTTAGGTGTCTCGATAATCAGCAGATGCTTTTTAAGATGCAACAAATCATCTTAAGCTGTTGTATGAAAGGTGGTGATTCAAGCATGAAAACCCTTTTTTAGAAATAATGATACTTTGTGTACAATTAGTACTCATGTATGTGGATATATATCAAGATTCTTTACATTTGATTTATGTTAAAATTATATGCTGGGTATTGATTTTGTGCTGCCTCTGATGACCATAAACATCTCAAAATTTAATCACCTGCAAATATTACCAGTTATACAGAAGAAGAAAGTGACCCTTTCATTGTGATGAGAGGCAGACTACAGGTAACTAAAACTTACTGTATTTGACAACAACTAGTACGATGCTGAGACAGGAACAAAATCTCTTCTGGTTCGAATCCTCTGTTGTACAGATTAAGGACAAGCTGGCGGGCCATAATGGTCTTTCCTGTTCCAGGAAATCCTACAACAAGAAAATAATAAGTTTAAATAGTACATACCATTATTTATATCTCAATAATTGACATTATATAACCCATCTCCCTGTAAACTATAAACTGGAAGAATATATAACCCATCTCCCTGTAAACTGGAAGAATATATAACCCATCTCCCTGTAAACTGGAAGAATATATAACCCATCTCCCTGTAACCCATCTCCCTGTAAACTATAAACTGGAAGAATATATAACCCATCTCCCTGTAAACTGGAAGAATATATAACCCATCTCCCTGTAAACTGGAAGAATATATAACCCATCTCCCTGTAAACTATAAACTGGAAGAATATATAACCCATCTCCCTGTAAACTATAAACTGGAAGAATATATAACCCATCTCCCTGTAAACTGGAAGAATATATAACCCATTTCCCTGTAAACTATAAACTGGAAGAATATATAACCCATCTCCCTGTAAACTGGAAGAATATATAACCCATCTCCCTGTAAACTATAAACTGGAAGAATATATAACCCATCTCCCTGTAAACTATAAACTGGAAGAATATATAACCCATCTCCCTGTAAACTATAAACTGGAAGAATATATAACCCATCTCCCTGTAAACTGGAAGAATATATAACCCATCTCCCTGTAAACTGGAAGAATATATAACCCATCTCCCTGTAAACTATAAACTGGAAGAATATATAACCCATCTCCCTGTAAACTATAAACTGGAAGAATATATAACCCATCTCCCTGTAAACTATAAACTGGAAGAATATATAACCCATCTCCCTGTAAACTATAAACTGGAAGAATATATAACCCATCTCCCTGTAAACTATAAACTGGAAGAATATATAACCCATCTCCCTGTAAACTATAAACTGGAAGAATATATAACCCATCTCCCTGTAAACTATAAACTGGAAGAATATATAACCCATCTCCCTGTAAACTATAAACTGGAAGAATATATAACCCATCTCCCTGTAAACTATAAACTGGAAGAATATATAACCCATCTCCCTGTAAACTGGAAGAATATATAACCCATCTCCCTGTAAACTATAAACTGGAAGAATATATAACCCATCTCCCTGTAAACTATAAACTGGAAGAATATATAACCCATCTCCCTGTAAACTATAAACTGGAAGAATATATAACCCATCTCCCTGTAAACTATAAACTGGAAGAATATATAACCCATCTCCCTGTAAACTGGAAGAATATATAACCCATCTCCCTGGGAAGAATATATAACCCATCTCCCTGTAAACTGGAAGAATATATAACCCATCTCCCTGTAAACTGGAAGAATATATAACCCATCTCCCTGTAAACTATAAACTGGAAGAATATATAACCCATCTCCCTGTAAACTATAAACTGGAAGAATATATAACCCATCTCCCTGTAAACTATAAACTGGAAGAATATATAACCCATCTCCCTGTAAACTATAAACTGGAAGAATATATAACCCATCTCCCTGTAAACTATAAACTGGAAGAATATATAACCCATCTCCCTGTAAACTATAAACTGGAAGAATATATAACCCATCTCCCTGTAAACTATAAACTGGAAGAATATATAACCCATCTCCCTGTAAACTATAAACTGGAAGAATATATAATCCATCTCCCTGTAAACTATAAACTGGAAGAATATATAACCCATCTCCCTGTAAACTATAAACTGGAAGAATATATAACCCATCTCCCTGTAAACTATATAACTCTCCCTGTAAACTGGAAGAATATAAATGGAAGAATATATAACCCATCTCCCTGTAAACTATAAACTGGAAGAATATATAACCCATCTCCCTGTAAACTATAAACTGGAAGAATATATAACCCATCTCCCTGTAAACTATAAACTGGAAGAATATATAACCCATCTCCCTGTAAACTATAAACTGGAAGAATATATAACCCATCTCCCTGTAAACTATAAACTGGAAGAATATATAACCCATCTCCCTGTAAACTATAAACTGGAAGAATATATAACCCATCTCCCTGTAAACTATAAACTGGAAGAATATATAACCCATCTCCCTGTAATCTATAAACTGGAATATATAACCCATTTCCCTGTAAACTATAAACTGGAAGAATATATAACCCATCTCCCTGTAAACTATAAACTGGAAGAATATATAACCCATCTCCCTGTAAACTATAAACTGGAAGAATATATAACCCATCTCCCTGTAAACTGGAAGAATATATAACCCATCTCCCTGTAAACTGGAAGAATATATAACCCATCTCCCTGTAAACTATAAACTGGAAGAATATATAACCCATCTCCCTGTAAACTATAAACTGGAAGAATATATAACCCATCTCCCTGTAAACTATAAACTGGAAGAATATATAACCCATCTCCCTGTAAACTGGAAGAATATATAACCCATCTCCCTGTAAACTATAAACTGGAAGAATATATAACCCATCTCCCTGTAAACTATAAACTGGAAGAATATATAACCCATCTCCCTGTAAACTATAAACTGGAAGAATATATAACCCATCTCCCTGTAAACTGGAAGAATATATAACCCATCTCCCTGTAAACTATAAACTGGAAGAATATATAACCCATCTCCCTGTAAACTATAAACTGGAAGAATATATAACCCATCTCCCTGTAAACTATAAACTGGAAGAATATATAACCCATCTCCCTGTAAACTATAAACTGGAAGAATATATAACCCATCTCCCTGTAAACTGGAAGAATATATAACCCATCTCCCTGTAAACTATAAACTGGAAGAATATATAACCCATCTCCCTGTAAACTATAAACTGGAAGAATATATAACCCATCTCCCTGTAAACTATAAACTGGAAGAATATATAACCCATCTCCCTGTAAACTATATAACCCATGGAAGAATATATAACCCATCTCCCTGTAAACTATAAACTGGAAGAATATATAACCCATCTCCCTGTAAACTATAAACTGGAAGAATATATAACCCATCTCCCTGTAAACTATAAACTGGAAGAATATATAACCCATCTCCCTGTAAACTATAAACTGGAAGAATATATAACCCATCTCCCTGTAAACTATAAACTGAAATATATAACCCATCTCCCTGTAAACTATAAACTGGAAGAATATATAACCCATCTCCCTGTAAACTATAAACTGGAAGAATATATAACCCATCTCCCTGTAAACTATAAACTGGAAGAATGTATAACCCATCTCCCTGTAAACTATAAACTGGAAATGAATATATAACCCATCTCCCTGTCCCTATAAACTGGAAGAATATATAACCCATCTCCCTGTAAACTATAAACTGAATATATAACCCATCTCCCTGTAAACTATAAACTGGAAGAATATATAACCCATCTCCCTGTAAACTATAAACTGGAGGAATATATAACCCATCTCCCTGTAAACTATAAACTGGAGGAATATATAACCCATCTCCCTGTAAACTGGAGGAATATATAACCCATCTCCCTGTAAACTATAAACTGGAGGAATATATAACCCATCTCCCTGTAAACTATAAACTGGAGGAATATATAACCCATCTCCCTGTAAACTATAAACTGGAAGAATATATAACCCATCTCCCTGTAAACTATAAACTGGAAGAATATATAACCCATCTCCCTGTAAACTATAAACTGGAAGAATATATAACCCATCTCCCTGTAAACTGGAAGAATATATAACCCATCTCCCTGTAAACTATAAACTGGAAGAATATATAACCCATCTCCCTGTAAACTATAAACTGGAAGAATATATAACCCATCTCCCTGTAAACTATAAACTGGAGGAATATATAACCCATCTCCCTGTAAACTGGAAGAATATATAACCCATCTCCCTGTAAATCTAATGAAGAATATATAACCCATCTCCCTGTAAACATAACACTGGCATTTATATAACCCATCTCCACAAACTATAATCAGGATAGAGACCCATTTCACTGGACATGCCCTGTAAACATTCTGGCTTATATAACTTCCCTGTAAAATAAACTGGAAGAATATATAACCCATCTCCATGAAACTACACCATTGTCTTCATATAAACCTTCTCCTGTAAACTGGTGAATATATAACCCATCTCCCTGTAATATAAACTGTGTAATTTGTCTCCCTGTAAACTATAAACTGGAAGAATATATAACCCATCTCCCTGTAAACTGGAAAATATATAATAGTATCCATCTCAAACTATATACAATACTATATGTATGATAATTCCAATCTATATAGCCATTCAGTCAACATATATGTACATATAACCCATCTTTCCAAACAAAAAGATTTTCATATGCTTGAACCATTATACTGTAAACTACAACAACCTTTTCAAAAATAACCCATGTTTCTGAAAATTACAACAGGTCAATAATATCTAACCCGTAGACTTTGTAAACTTCAATATCATCACAACATCTACTTAGTTTGTTAGGCATTAATCCCATCAAGTAATTAATACATTATTCACACAGGAACATTTTTCGACTCATGCAGGATCTGAGCCTCTATCATCATGTCAAGAATATGAAACTGTTTATCACTAACATTTCAAATAATCTTTTTGAGGATGCTTCCATGATGTCATGGCTATATTTTGTTAATAGGTGATGTAGTGCTGTAAGTTATGAGTCTGGCACCCAGACAGTTATCTGTTGTGCACAAGTATTATCAGAAATTGTTGAATTAACACGGAGATTTTATCACCAGATACTCATTTAGCTAATTTCAATGTTAACAGTCAAGGGAACCTTGTCTTCAGTTAAACTATCCTTATATTCTAACACCTAACATTGTAACCTATAACTTACTTTTATACATCAATATTATCACAAACATCGTAACTTACTTTTATACATCAATATTATCAAAAACATCGTTACTTACTTTATACTTCAATATTATCACTAACATCGTAACTTACATTTATACTTCAATATTATCACTAACATCGTAACTTACTTTTATACATCAATATTATCACAAACATCGTAACTTACTTTTATACATCAATATTATCACTAACATCGTAACTTTTTTATACTTCAATATTATCACTAACATCGTAACTATTTACTTTTACATCAATATTATCACTAACATCGTAACTTACTTTTATACTTCAATATTATCACTAACATCGTAACTTACTTTTATACTTCAATATTATCACTAACATCATTACTTTTATACTTCAATATTATCACTTTTTTCGAACATCTATCAATATTATCACTAACATCGTAACTTACTTTTATACTTCAATATTATCACTAACATCGTAACTTACTTTTATACTTCAATATTATCACAAACATCGTAACCTATGACTTACTTTTATACATCAATATTATCACTAACATCGTAACTTACTTTTATACATCAATATTATCACTAACATCGTAACTTACTTTTATACTTCAATATTATCACTTCGTAACTTACTTTTATACTTCAATATTATCACTAACATCGTAACTTACTTTTATACTTCAATATTATCACTAACATCGTAACTTACTTTATTATCACTAACATCGTAACTTACTTTTATATTTATCACAAACATCGTAACTAATCGAACTTACTTTTATACATCAATATTATCACTAACATCGTAACTTACTTTTATACTTCAATATTATCACTAACATCGTATACTTACTAACTTAACTTACTTTTATACATCAATATTATCACTAACATCGTAACTTACTTTTATACATCAATATTATCACTAACATCGTAACTATACTTTTTTATACATCAATATTATCACTAACATCGTAACTACTTTTATACATCAATATTATCACTAACATCGTAACTTACTTTTTTATACTTCAATATTATCACTAACATCGTAACTTACTTTTATACATCAATATTATCACTAACATCGTAACTTACTTTTATACTTCAATATTATCACTAACATCGTAACTTACTTTTATACTTCAATATTATCACTAACATCGTAACTTACTTTTATACATCAATATTATCACTAACATCGTAACTTATACTTACTTTTATACATCAATATTATCACTAACATCGTAACTTACTTACTTTTATACATCAATATTATCACTAACATCGTAACTTACTTTTATACTTCAATATTATCACTAACATCGTAACCTATACTTTTTTATACATCAATATTATCACTAACATCGTAACTTACTTTTATACATCAATATTATCACTAACATCGTAACATCAATATTATCACTAACATATACTCAATATTATCACTAACATCGTAACTTACTTTTCTACATCAATATTATCACTAACATCGTAACTTACTTTTATACTTCAATATTATCACAAACATCGTAACTTACTTTTATACATCAATATTATCACTAACATCGTAACTTACTTTTATACTTCAATATTATCACTAACATCGTAACTTACTTTTATACTTCAATATTATCACTAACATCGTAACCTATACTTTTTTATACATCAATATTATCACTAACATCGTAACTTACTTTTATACATCAATATTATCACTAACATCGTAACTTACATTTATAATTCAATATTATCACTAACATCGTAACTTACTTTTATACTTCAATATTATCACTAACATCGTAACCTATACTTTTATACATCAATATTATCACAAAAATCGTAACTTACTTTCATACTTCAATATTATCACTAACATCGTAACTTACTTTTATACTTCAATATTATCACTAACATCGTAACTTACTTTTATACATCAATATTATCACTAACATCGTAACTTACTTTTACACATCAATATTATCACTAACATCGTAACTTACTTTTATACTTCAATATTATCACTAACATCGTAACTTACTTTTATACTTCAATATTATCACAAACATCGTAACTTACTTTATACTTCAATATTATCACTAACATCGTAACTTACTTTTATACATCAATATTATCACTAACATCGTAACTTACTTTTATACATCAATATTATCACTAACATCGTAACTTACTTTTATACATCAATATTATCACTAACATCGTAACCTATAACTTACTTTATACTTCAATATTATCACTAACATCGTAACTTACTTTTATACTTCAATATTATCACTAACATCGTAACTTACTTTAACATCGTATACTTCAATATTATCACTAACATCGTAACTTACTTTTATACATCAATATTATCACTAACATCGTATTACTTTTATACATCAATATTATCACTAACATTGTTACTTACTTTTATACTTCAATATTATCACTAACATCGTAACTTACTTTTATACTTCAATATTATCACTAACATCGTAACTTACTTTTATACATCAATATTATCACTAACATCGTAACTTACTTTTATACATCAATATTATCACTAACATCGTAACTTACTTTTATACAATATTATCACTAACATCGTAACTATTATTATCACTAACATCGTAACTTACTTTTATACATCAATATTATCACTAACATCGTAACTTACTTTTATACATCAATATTATCACAAACATCGTAACTTACTTTTATACATCAATATCATCACAAACATCGTAACCTATGACTTACTTTTATACATCAATATTATCACTAACATCGTAACTTACTTTTATACTTCAATATTATCACTAACATCGTAACTTACTTTTATACATCAATATTATCACTAACATCGTAACTTACTTTTATACTTCAATATTATCACAAACATCGTAACCTATGACTTACTTTTATACATCAATATTATCACTAACATCGTAACTTACTTTTATACATCAATATTATCACTAACATCGTAACCTATAACTTACTTTTATACTTCAATATTATCACTAACATCGTAACTTACTTTTATACATCAATATTATCACTAACATCGTAACTTACTTTGATACATCAATATTATCACTAACATCGTAACCTATGACTTACTTTTATACATCAATATTATCACTAACATCGTAACTTACTTTTATACATCAATATTATCACTAACATCGTAACTTACTTTTATACATCAATATTATCAAAAACATCGTTACTTACTTTATACTTCAATATTATCACTAACATCGTAACTTACTTTTATACTTCAATATTATCACTAACATCGTAACTTACTTTTATACATCAATATTATCACAAACATCGTAACTTACTTTTATACATCAATATTATCACTAACATCGTAACCTATAACTTACTTTGATACATCAATATTATCACAAACATCGTAACTTACTTTTATACATCAATATTATCACTAACATCGTAACTTACTTCTATACTTCAATATTATCACTAACATCGTAACCTACAACTTACTTTTGAAGACACTTTGCTGAATCTTTTCCGAACTTTTTTCTACCTCATAGATTTTATTCTTCTGACCAATATCCAATCTCTGGAAACGTGATATGAAGTCTTCACTATGAGCTGAAAAACATAATGTGTTTACATTAACTTACAACAGTATAGCTTTAGCAAAAATTCCATTTTTCATAACACTGTCAATTTAAAAATGAAAATACAGTATTATTGCCTTAAATATCTAAGAAACATACAAGAATAGTACATATATTTCTGTATACCAAATGTTTAGAAATCTGAGCATGTCTTTCCTGTCATTGAAATAATTTTTTTACTTGCCCTTGTCAGTGCACATAAAGATTTTACCTGGTGTTAGACGAAGGTCTTTACATTTGATTGTGACACAGAGTGACAATATGCCTGGCTGTAGGAGAATTTTACAATAGAATAATCAATAAACTTTACCAATTATTAGTATTTCTAAAGTCAACTAGTATAATGTATAGATCTATTAAGTTTATATCAACACTCTATATAAAATTACATAATGAAATTAAACAATGTATACATACATAGGTCTTTCATCACAATTGGCACCCATTTCTCTACTTCATAATATTTCCTCTGTCCTTCAGCATCAAGATAACATGGTTTCGGGTCAGAAGAAAATACACAACCATAAAACTTTGCCACTGAAACCTCCAAAACTTTCCTAGTACTGTTCTCAGCGCCAACATTATGAAAACGAACATCATAATACTGATGTATTTCATCTTTATTTGCTTTTTCTCCATCATGTCTCACCCAGAGCATCTCTTTCGACATTGCATAATCAATTTTCATACGAATAACTCGTTCCTTTTCTTCATCTATATCAAACTTTATTCCACACACAACAGGAGTTTTACTGAAAGCTGTTTTATTACTCGATTTAGGGTTTTCTTTCTCTGTAATTCCAAAATATATGCTCCCTCCTTCTTGGTTTTGGCTAAATGCTGAACTGTAGTGTCTGATATCTTTACACATACCATTAATGGCATTATCACCCTGGCCACCTTCTTTTGAAGCATTCGAAGACTTGAGCTGAATATTTGTAGATTCATGAAGATGGAAACATTTCATTCCCAGTTCTAACTTCCCATGTTTTTCCTTACAATGTACATGTGTGACCTCAGGGTGATAGTTTGATGGTTTTTTTGTTGATTGTAGCAAGCGTCTTTGTATTTCTTCAATTCCCACTTCTTTGTGATCATGCTGGTTTACTGTGTAAACTTTTGACTCAAGAGGAAAAGTAAGCTGTGGACCATCTTTAATATAATAGAGTAGCCATTTTCCAACCCCTTTCCACCAAACTGTCTGGTACCAGCTGTTGAATTCCCCAACTTCTCCCCTATATGTAGCCATATTTTGCAGCGTACAGTCCACCTTGCTTGTGAAAGAGTCCTTGTATAAGTTGTCATTGTCTTTTTCTGAATAGTTTAGATTTCTGATGATCGTAACACCACCCCCTGAATTTCTTAATAACATCGTATTGGAAAGAAATTCAGACATTATCTGTTTTCCTAAATCATTTTTGTTACCCTGAATTGGTATATCCATCCTCATTACATTATCGGCAAACATATCCTCTGTTGGATCATCTGGAAGATCATCATCGTGATGTGAAAGCATTTCCACATCCTGGTTATTGTCTGTACTATAGGAGGAAACTTGCATCTCCTCCAAACTGTTTTCATTTCCATAAACCTGTTCATTTCTGCTTGAAGATGCACCAAAGTCCCTGTGAATTTTTTTCCTTGGGGGTTCTGAAAATATGAAGACTGTTTTACTTATGTACTAATTATTAAATACAGGAAGAGGAGTGAAAATATGTCCCTTATGTATGACACATCTTTCAAACCATATGGGCTATTACAGGTCTACCTGTCTATCACTGCAGCTAGTACTCATGATACAAAGCTGTAATTATATTTTTTTTTAAAACTTGAGTTACACTCTACATGTAATGCAAATGTGACCCCTGTTACAGGTAGGAGGGAGAGCCATGGGTCAGCTGAAGTGCCTACAAACTATTCTGTAAGGGGAGGTTTCATTATTTCTTTCAAGTAAACCAACCAACCAACCAACCTACCCCCCCTCTCCCTCTCTCTCTCTCTCTCTCTCTCTCTCTCTCTCTTTCTTAACAATCTTACTTGCAACTTGTAAATAATTCATTGCTTAAATTCACAAAACTCATTTATACAGGAGATTCCATGGTGATTTTAGCAGTGTAATAAGGGTCATGATACAATTGGATTGTAGAACATTATCATATAAATGTAATTTCCCATATAATATCACCACCTATACATCACCTGAACACTGACAGTTATGTTCTTCACCTTACATACATGTCATCAGGTTTAAATTTTGACTTCCTGTCTCATCAATATGACGACAGACATTTTCACTTCATAGTAGTAATTCACTTTCACCTGTGATCTTTCATTACTTTCTGCATGTCACATGATATGGTGTTTTTTATGGCAAAATAAACAAAATCAATAAACATTATCTTTAAAGAAACCATAAGTTTTGTGACACATATTTATAGGTACAAATAAGCCTGGTTTATGCTAACGGGAATAGTATTTAATGTTGTTTACAAGTGAGAACATTGCGACACATATTTATAGGTACAAATAAGCCTGGTTGAAACTAATGGGAATAGTATTTAACAATGTTGTTTACTTTGGGAAATTAGACAGATCTACCATAGGTTATAAACTGCATATATAAGTTATAGAGCCAATGTTAAATGACTTTTTCGATTTGATCCACATATTAGCCGCACCAGAATGTAAGCCACACCCTTTCTTATGATGTGTTAACTGTTATGTTGACAACAGTTTGTTGATATAACAGACAACAGAAGGCAATTGATCAAGATTGTCAGTGAAACATTTAATATCAGTAGATATGAAAGGCCAGGATCAGGAGATCCTTTCTGTGACAGAATAGCTATGGCCAACAGTTCTCACATTTAATGATTCTCTAAAGGGTTTGTCAGCTTGAGATGTTGCACATTCTGATTGAAATCCAGTGTTTTCTAGGAGTAACAGAGGTCATCATTTACAGAATAAATTTCAGTGCTTCCAATAGGATTGGAACTCTGGACCCTGCCTCACTAATCTGACCCTCAACTAATTGAACTAACAGGAAGGTCTCTCTAGTTGAGCATTATATTGCAGCTAGTATTTTACCAGAGTTACATACTCCCCCTCCAAGAAATCACTCATCCTCAAGTTTCCAGGAGACACAGCAATGCTTGCGAAAGTATAATGCTAAGTATTATTCTAGAATCCCTACAATCCCTACAAGAGCACCAACCAAGGATTTGAACCCTTGATCCCTGTCTCACTAGTCTGACACGCAACCAACTGAACTAAACAGAATTTTTTCTCTTACCAAGTGGTATAATGCAGTTAGTGTATTATCAGGGTTTATATGTCTGCCCAATGATTTTAAGAAATACAAAATCAACAACAATAGAACAATTTACAGTGATAATTGTTTATCTACTTGGGGTACACACTATCACTGATTCATCAACTACCGCTGGTATATGATTGACAGCTCAGACCAAATGAAACATAAGTAATGGTGACGTGGTTCAGGGATTCAACACTTCTGTATTTAACAATGGTTAGCAGGTGTTGATATACAGTGGATGGCAGTTTATAACATGGTTTGATATAGCAGGATAGAAGGGTTTTTTATAATTATTTTTGTTCTTTTTTACAATGCATAGATTACTGTAAAATTACATGGTACAAGACTACTTTTCTAAAATCAGTTGAGTAGAAAAAAACTGTGGTTTGCCTCCCTTATTGCAGTATCAGCATACCACATTTTATGAAAGTTTCTTAAAATTCAAAATACTCACGTTCAAAGTCTGCAGCAAGGTCCTCATCGATAGCTTCTTTTTTAAGTGGCCTTCTCTCCATATTTGTCACCTCTGAATTTCTATAAAAAAAAATAGAGAGAAAAAATAGCATGGGCATAGATTGCTGCAGAGTAGCATTAATGTTACCAGAAAAGTTTCTATAAATACATTGGAATATCATGTAATATTGTTAAAAAAAGACAATTCTTATCTTAATCAAGCAGTCTTATCAACAGGCCCATGGAGTCTATCAATCACATTGATTTTTCACTTAACTGCTATAAATTTCTAATTGGATGGGGTGATGAAAACAGCCCTTCCCCACCAGGGTTCGAACAAGCAACCCTTTAGATTCTAACTCCATAGCTTTACAAAAGGGGAAATTCTTATAAGTCAAAGCAACGCTATCAAGGCAACCTATATTCTCTTTCAACTTATCCTTACTGAATTATATATAGGCCAAGTTTTTGTTGATATGATGTGTCACTTTTCTAGCTGAAATAGTTTGTACACCTCTAAATTCTGTTTGGTAATACCATGTGTTATTTGTAGTCTTATAATTCTGGTATTTTACTATAATAAGATATCTTGTGGCCCGTTTGCTTTCCTCTTTCACTGCCCTGCCAGCAGAAGAGGTTTCACTTGTGTAACTGCTTTTGGTTGGTTCCTCATTTACGGATGAACAAATCATTCATTGTAGGGATTTTGATAATGGAATCTCTTGAGTTGGTAACTATTTTCTTGCATACAAATTTTGTACCAGGTAATTCAGTGTTCATGTAATTCAGTGTTCATGTAATTCAGTGTTCAGGTAACTCAGTGTTCAGGTAATTCAGTGTTCAGGTAACTCAGTGTTCATGTACTTCAGTGTTCAGGTAACACAGTGTTCAGGTAATTCAGTGTTCAGGTAACTCAGTGTTCAGGTAACTCAGTGTTCAGGTAATTCAGTGTTCATGTAATTCAGTGTTCAGGTTACTCAGTGTTCAGGTAATTCAGTGTTCATGTAATTCAGTGTTCAGGTTACTCTGTGTTCAGGTAATTCAGTATTCTGGTAATTCAGTGTTCAGGTAATTCAGTGTTCAGGTAACTCAGTGTTCGGGTAATTCAGTGTTCATGTACTTCAGTGTTCAGGTTACTCAGTGTTCAGGTAATTCAGTGTTCTGGTAATTCAGTGTTCAGGTAATTCAGTGTTCTGGTAATTCAGTGTTTGCCATCTCTATACTTCCAGTCAGTAGCTGATTTCCTAGACGTGGTCATCTATTCAACAGTTTTCCTGTCAACAGGATGTAGCTATTCATAAGAAGACTATCATGGTAAATTAACTAACGTTCCATCATTAGATATACATTTTTTAACAAGTTTTTACTTAAGTTTTGGGTTTGGCGGACTGACAAAATTTCTGACATGTATTATCTGTACGTCTATTTGGTGGCTGAGTAGTTCTTATTTCATATGTAGTGTTTAAATATGTACTGGATGTTTGTAGTCTGGTTAGTCCATGGGATATCACACACGAACATTGACCTTACTGTAGCATTAGATTCAGTATGTTAGGAATAGATTATTTGTATACATATATATCATGTAGGGATCAGCTGTTATTTCCTTATGGCATACCAGTTATTTTTACCTACAATACTCCACTTTTGTTACCAGTTGACTTATTTCTTCTAGTGTTATCCCATCTTCAGCTGGGATCTTAATTTATTATATTCATAAATCAGAGTGGCAACTTGATGTTTATAAAAGACTATTATAGATTTGGTTACTTAAGGGGTCAAATTGAACTTACTGGACTTTTGTCTATTACTGGTATATACTGACAACTACATGTATTAAGATTACATAAAAATAATATTTCATATAAATCAGCACAACATAATTTGGCCATGTAATTAAATAAGAGAACATGATATCTGTATTTAATTTGTGTTTGATTGTACATGTAGTGTAGGTACAGTAAATATGTATCATTATCTGTAATTTGTGTTTGATGTAGTGTAGGTACAATAAATATGTATCATTATCTGTAATTTGTGTTTGATGTAGTGTAGGTACAGTAAATATGTATCATTATCTGTAATTTGTGTTTGATGTAGTGTAGGTACAGTAAATATGTATCATTATCTGTAATTTGTGTTTGATTGTACATGTAGTGTAGGTACAGTAAATATGTATCATTATCTGTAATTTGTGTTTGATTGTACATGTAGTGTAGGTACAGTAAATATGTATCATTATCTGTAATTTGTGTTTGATGTAGTGTAGGTACAATAAATATGTATCATTATCTGTAATTAGTATTTGATGTAGTGTAGGTACAATAAATATGTATCATTATCTGTAATTTGTGTTTGATGTAGTGTAGGTACAGTAAATATGTATCATTATCTGTAATTTGTGTTTGATGTAGTGTAGGTACAGTAAATATGTATCATTATCTGTAATTTGTGTTTGATGTAGTGTAGGTACAATAAATATGTATCATTATATGTAATTTGGGTTTGATGTATTGTAGGTACAGTAAATATGTATCATTATATGTAATTTGTGTTTGATGTAGTGTAGGTACAGTAAATATGTATCATTATATGTAATTTGTGTTTGATGTAGTGTAGGTACAGTAAATATGTATCATTATCTGTAATTTGTGTTTGATTGTACATGTAGTGTAGGTACAGTAAATATGTATCATTACCTGTAATTTGTGTTTGATGTAGTGTAGGTACAATAAATATGTATAATTATCTGTAATTAGTATTTGATGTAGTGTAGGTACAATAAATATGTATCATTATCTGTAATTTGTGTTTGATGTAGTGTAGGTACAGTAAATATGTATCATTATCTGTAATTTGTGTTTGATGTAGTGTAGGTACAGTAAATATGTATCATTATCTGTAATTTGTGTTTGATGTAGTGTAGGTACAGTAAATATGTATCATTATCTGTAATTTGTGTTTGATGTAGTGTAGGTACAGTAAATATGTATCATTATCTGTAATTTGTGTTTGATGTAGTGTAGGTACAGTAAATATGTATCATTATATGTAATTTGTGTTTGATGTAGTGTAGGTACAGTAAATATGTATCATTATATGTAATTTGTGTTTGATGTAGTGTAGGTACAGTAAATATGTATCATTATCTGTAATTTGTGTTTGATGTAGTGTAGGTACAGTAAATATGTATCATTATCTGTAATTTGTGTTTGATGTAGTGTAGGTACAGTAAATATGTATCATTATCTGTAATTTGTGTTTGATGTAGTGTAGGTACAGTAAATATGTATCATTATCTGTAATTTGTGTTTGATGTAGTGTAGGTACATTATCTGTAATAAATATGTATACAATAAATATGTATCATTATCTGTAATTTGTGTTTGATGTAGTGTAGGTACAGTAAATATGTATCATTATATGTAATTTGTGTTTGATGTAGTGTAGGTACAATAAATATGTATCATTATCTGTAATTTGTGTTTGATGTAGTGTAGTACAGTAAATATGTATCATTATCTGTAATTTGTGTTTGATGTAGTGTAGGTACAATAAATATGTATCATAATAAGTAATATGTTTTTGATGAAGTGTAGGTACAGTAAAAATGTATCATTATATGTAATTTGTGTTTGATGTAGTGTAGGTACAATAAATATGTATCATTATCTGTAATTTGTGTTTGATGTAGTGTAGGTACAATAAATATGTATCATTATCTGTAATTTGTGTTTGATGTAGTGTAGGTACAGTAAATATGTATCATTATATGTAATTTGTGTTTGATGTAGTGTAGGTACAATAAATATGTATCATTATCTGTAATTTGTGTTTGATGTAGTGTAGGTACAATAAATATGTATCATTATCTGTAATTTGTGTTTGATGTAGTGTAGGTACAGTAAATATGTATCATTATCTGTAATTTGTGTTTGATGTAGTGTAGGTACAATAAATATGTATCATTATCTGTAATTTGTGTTTGATGTAGTGTAGGTACAGTAAATATGTATCATTATCTGTAATTTGTGTTTGATGTAGTGTAGGTACAATAAATATGTATCATTACCTGTAATTTGTGTTTGATGTAGTGTAGGTACAGTAAATATGTATCATTATCTGTAATTTGTGTTTGATGTAGTGTAGGTACAATTCTAATATGTATCATTATCTGTAATTTGTGTTTGATGTAGTGTAGTACAGTAAATATGTATCATTATCTGTAATTTGTGTTTGATGTAGTGTAGGTACAGTAAATATGTATCATTATCTGTAATTTGTGTTTGATGTAGTGTAGTGTAGGTACAATAGATATGTATCATTACCTGTAATTTGTGTTTGATGTAGTGTAGGTACAGTAAATATGTATCATTATCTGTAATTTGTGTTTGATGTAGTGTAGGTACAGTAAATAATTATCTGTAATTTGTATGTATCATGTATCATTACCTGTAATTTGTGTTTGATGTAGTGTAGGTACAGCTATGTATCATTATCTGTAATTTGTGTTTGATGTAGTGTAGTGTAGTACAATAAATATGTATCATTATCTGTAATTTGTGTTTGATGTAGTGTATCATTATCTGTAATTTGTGTTTGATGTAGTGTAGGTACAGTAAATATGTATCATTACATTTGTGTTTGATGTAGTGTAGGTACAATAAATATGTATCATTATCTATAATTTGTGTTTGATGTAGTGTAGGTACAGTAAATATGTATCATTACTTGTAATTTGTGTTTGATTACAATTTAATATATTCTGTATAATGTGTCTATTCTGTACCATTTTCATGTTTTCCTGCCTTTCTTCCTTGTAGTTAGAATAGCACCACAAACGTAATGTTCCATGTAATGGAGAACAGCTCTACATAGGTGATGTTCAATGTAATGGAGAACAGCTCTACATAGGTAATGTTCAATGTAATGGAGAACAGCTCTACATAGGTAATGTTCCATGTAATGGAGAACAGCTCTACATAGGTGATGTTCCATGTAATGGAGAACAGCTCTACATAGGTGATGTTCAATGTAATGGAGAACAGCTCTACATAGGTGATGTTCAATGTAATGGAGAACAGCTCTACATAGGTGATGTTCAATGTAATGGAGAACAGCTCTACATAGGTGATGTTCAATGTAATGGAGAACAGCTCTACATAGGTGATGTTCAATGTAATGGAGAACAGCTCTACATAGGTGATGTTCAATGTAATGGAGAACAGCTCTACATAGGTGATGTTCAATGTAATGGAGAACAGCTCTACATAGGTGATGTTCCATGTAATGGAGAACAGCTCTACATAGGTGATGTTCAATGTAATGGAGAACAGCTCTACATAGGTGATGTTCAATGTAATGGAGAACAGCTCTACATAGGTAATGTTCAATGTAATGGAGAATATATACATATATATACGTCCCTGATGTAATGTTCAATAATGTTCAATGTAGATGTATAACTCGATAATTCAAATAATTGGCTGTGTACAAAGGGACATATGTTAGTAGATATTAAAACATGTACGGTATACCTTTTAATCATTCGCTAGGACAACCATGTGCCATAGATTTATATACTGTTTAAATATTTGACACACAAGAACATGCGTCATAGATTTATATACTGTTTAAATACTTGACAAACATGTGCCATGAGAAAAGACCTGCAGGGATCCATCTTGTCACTCAGCCACAAGTAAACAGCACCAGTTACCAGAAAGATATGTCTCAGCTGTGTAAGGCTTTTGATAATTTATAGACAATTGGTACCTACTCATGTAACTGGAATGTAATACTCCTTGTTATTCATTCACAAAGTCTTCAAAGTGGAGGCCAGCCTTACCAACAACGATGTTGGAGAATGGCACAACCAAATCAACTCTTTAAGTACAGCTTTGGTCCAGTGCCTTTCTACTTGTTGTTAATGTTTTTGTTTGGTAACAGAAAGTCTCACACAGGTCTAAATGGTTAAAAATGCAAAACTAATAAAAAGAGTTGCAGAGAAACTTCTACAGTTCAGAAGATATTTCGCCTGTTGGAGCAATATCACCGACAGGAAATAACAGAGCTGAGGTGTACAGGTACTAAACATAGAAGTGACGAGGTGTGTGTTCCAAGTACCAAAAGTGAAAGTGACAAGGTGTGTGTTCCAAGTACCAAAAGTGAAAGTGACAAGGTGTGTGTTCCAAGTACCAAAAGTGAAAGTGACAAGGTGTGTGTTCCAAGTACCAAAAGTGAAAGCGATGAGGTGTGTGTTCCAAGTACCAAAAGTGAAAGCGATGAGGTGTGTGTTCCAAGTACCAAAAGTGAAAGCGATGAGGTGTGTGTTCCAAGTACCAAAAGTGAAAGTGACAAGGTGTGTGTTCCAAGTACCAAAAGTGAAAGTGACAAGGTGTGTGTTCCAAGTACCAAAAGTGAAAGTGACAAGGTGTGTGTTCCAAGTACCAAAAGTGAAAGCGATGAGGTGTGTGTTCCAAGTACCAAAAGTGAAAGTGACAAGGTGTGTGTTCCAAGTACCAAAAGTGAAAGTGACAAGGTGTGTGTTCCAAGTACCAAAAGTGAAAGTGACAAGGTGTGTGTTCCAAGTACCAAAAGTGAAAGCGATGAGGTGTGTGTTCCAAGTACCAAAAGTGAAAGTGACAAGGTGTGTGTTCCAAGTACCAAAAGTGAAAGTGACAAGGTGTGTGTTCCAAGAACCAAAAGTGAAAGTGACAAGGTGTGTGTGTTCAATGAAACAATGAAAAAAATGGGGGTTTTCACAAGTAAGGATCAAGTTGGAATTTATTCATTCAAATTCTCAGTATTCATTGAACTCACACAACAGATATTAAGATTAGTTGTTAGTAAGGATAGGTGTTTCAAAATATGATGCTTCTGAAAGATTTTGTTCAATTGAAATATGGTAAAAATAAAATTAATCATCTCATGAAATTTTAAGCTGTCAATTTATTAAAATTTTAGAAAAAGAGTGAAAAAGATAACTGAAATAAAATCTTCCAGAAAATTCAAAGTGTTTTAATCTAGATCAAATTGTCCATGATATTTGAATTTTTGTATTTACAGTGATATATATTTAGAAAAGAACTGCAGACAGATACAAATCTGGAAATTCGGTCCGGATCGATTCATATTTTGCATAAATGTAGCTACTTCCTGTTTATCCATTATCACAATTTTGAGGAGTACCAAACCAAACATTAAACATGTTGAAATTTAATTAACTCGCCAGTGAATGAAATATTTTTATCTGATTTTTTTACTCATGATACCAACTTAGTAGATTTTAAGGAATGACATGGTTGAATTAAATAAATTGATTGAGGAATGCTTGAACATAGTTACATCATGAAGATCGCTTATCAACCATTTTGTTGTTAATTTGTACTTTGATCGAATATGTAGTATGAAAATGGTAATAACTACTTAATTATAGGTATAATGACGTAATTTTAACTGACCAATAGTCTACCGTTAATTAGGTAAGGATTAATTGGCCGGGTACAAGTGTGCAACCAAGCGTAGCGGTCAGCTAGGATTAACCTGAATTGGGTGACACTAATTAGATAATTGGGCAGAGTACTCGCCTAGCCAGGGATTGATCTTGTGGCCAGCCTTACCTATTTGACAAATAAAGCAAGGTTACTTATGACCTACCTAGCGGGATCGCTGAAATCGGGAAATTCCCCAATTTTTATCCCTACGATTGGGAGGCGGTCCTGGGAAGTAGAATTCGGAAAACTGCAGACAGAATCGGGGAAAGCTGGCAGGTATGCAAAAGTGAAAGTGATGGGGTGTGCATTTCAAGTATCAAAAGTGAAAGCAGAGACATATATAATACACGTTATATATGTCTCTGGTGAAAGTGACAAGGTGTGTGTTCAAAGTACCAAAAGTGAAAGTGACAAGGTGTGTGTTCTGCATCCATAAATCACTTATCTTATCTTATCTTAAGTACCAAAAGTGATATTGACGAGATATCCAAGTCCCTGCTTGACCAGATGCCGAAGTGTCTATGATGTAAAAGGTTAATTGTTTCTGGGTTCCGCTCGTATTGACGAATCACATTGTAATTTACAATCGTATTGACAAATTCCAATGCAATGTGCACATCTCCTTATTTGGGAATGAGTTTATGCTTCTGCCACATCCGTTGCTGTGATAAGTAACGCAGAGACGTATATGTGATATATATGTCTCTGAGTAACGGAATGCTGATAAGGCGAGTTTTAGTGTCATCTTTTATGCTTACGGATACTTACGGTTGTACAAATGCAGAATGCCTGTTAATCTGTTTAAAAGTAAGGTTTTGTAATCATCTGGTCATATATCTTCTTGATGGTCGCTCATCGTCTGTCTGTGTTCATTCCGTGTATCCCCGAACTGCCGTTCGTTTTCATTCTGGATAGATCGAAGCTCAGTCACGTGGCCTCTCTCAGCTTACGTGGAGACAAGGGCGAGGTATATACATTTATTACATGTCTCTCCAAGACAAATAAGACTCAAACTTGTTATTTGATCCCTTTTCACCTGTTTATTCTGTGTCCTCTTGTTATTAATAAGACTAAAAATAAAATAAACGAACAGTATACCGAGACGGATTTGAACAGTCGTAAATTGCGGCTAACAGCTAGATTGTTACGTTATGCCTGGTACAGGCCACACAATTTCTCAACATATTATCTCTACCAGCTGCACTTGATGACGTAACTACACAGTCTGAATAACAGTTAAAGTCTGTTTCATAATACTCTACATCTCCCTTTCTTCAGTTTTAGTTTGAGTAATACCTACACATTTATAGTTTATGAATGCTTTGATGTTACATATAAGTTTAAAAAACAGTTACAGTCTGTTTCATAATACAGCGATCAGTACAATAAGGTGCTGATAACTGTAATTATCAATATATTTAATCAATTTTTAGAACCATATTAAAACACGCATGACATCATCCACAAGCTATTCACTGTGCTATCATCTGAAGATGCTTTGAACTTTAATAGAAGTGTGCTTGTCTGCAATGGACGATGAAACTTTTTTAAACGAGAACATAAACTTTGAGGACGTATATTTTATAAAGACACATATTGTAATAAATTTGTACGGTGTCTTCCTTATTATGTATGTACTGTATTATGAGGGGGGCATATAGAGGTAATGGGGAATGATTTGTTACATACTTCAACGTTATTTAACACCGGAAGTGGAGGGGTGGGCGTCGTGCTGATTTTTAATTTCAATTCAAATGCGAATAGCATATAGGATTACAAAATGATCATATACAAATATTATACAGCAAAATGGCGGAGGACATGACAACATCATCAACATACATGTAACAATGAAAATATACAGTGATTGTGAGTAGCATTAAGCTAGAAAATATACAATTTGATTCAATGTTAAGAAGATACTTTCTTTAGAAGTAGCTTGAATCAAATATTTACTAAGATTTCTCAAACCCTTCACATTTTTTAAGGAAAATAGTTGTATTATTTTGAAAACAGAAGGACGACAGAAATAATAGGGTTTACTATATTTGTTTCTGAACTCTGAGTAAACTGAACATAATAAAATGAGTTTCATCCTCGATGTCATTACTATTACAAAGAGGACAGTATCTTTGGGGTCTGGAAATACCGTTATATCTGCCCTATAGTTAATGTGTGGGACGGTAACCGATACTTACTGAGGATATGTTTATACTTACAAGCGAGAGATTTGGTAAAACTGCATATCGTAATGATCAACAATGTATCTATACAAACGACATCTGGAAGAATTTCTAGAATGTTTCTCACCTGTTGAATATAATAATCTTTCACACGTCAGGTGTATAAGAAGACAAACTTTTTTCACTAAATATGAACGGATTTAAATAAACATCATAACAGCCTGTTCTACATAATTCCTGTTTCACTTGGTAAACAAAATAAGTTTTACAATTAGGTTTATTCGAATTTGATTCGACAAGTTCCTCGTAACAAGATCTCAGAATGCAATGATTAGTACTAAGAAGCTTTAACCAGTACTTTAAAATTGATATTCTATGTTTCATTTGTGAAGTAACTCGTATTAATTCGAAGTAAATCATAGAATTATTTATAGACATTTTAACTCCAAGAACTTCTTTGCAAATGTACTTTTTCAATTTGGGTTGCAGGATTGGATCCCCAGATTTCACAAGCAAGCAAGTAACAGATATGTCGAATAATGACAACTTTGTTTCAAAGTTTGACATAAAATTTCTTAATTTTCTATTCAATAAAAAACAAGCCTTTCTGCCTTTGGCCGCAATGTTATCTATTACTAAGGTAAAAAGGTCATTTTAGTAACACTGGACCAAGCTAGTTGTCCACTATATCAATAGGCCTACCATTATATGTCCTTTGCTCATTAGGAAAAACGTGTGTATTTTCCCTAAATATAATTACTTAAGTTTTATCTATATTAACATTTAATTTCCAACGTTCAGCGTACAAAAACAGATAGTCAAGCAAATTCTGCAGATCGACTATGTCTTCAGAAAACAAGGTCGTGTCGTCCGTATACAAAGATATACAGAAAACAAGGTCGTGTCGTCCGTATACAAAGATATACAAAAGGTTTAGCAACTGTAATTGATAACTCTGACAATTTGAATTGATAAGTTCGGACTCCATATCATTGATAAACAATGAAAATAAAATCGGAGATAAAGATTCCCATTGCAATAATCCGACTCTTTATTACATACATTTGTTAGACTACAACAGTACAGACTTACAAATTTCATACAATGTATAGCGCTTTTTTGGTATAGTCAAACGTTCTCTATTACATACATTTGTTAGACCACAACAGTACAGACTTACAAATTTCATACAATGTATAGCGCTTTTTTGGTATAGTCAAACGTTCTCTATTACATACATTTGTTAGACTACAACAGTACAGACTTACAAATTTCATACAATGTATAGCGCTTTTTTGGTATAGTCAAACGTTCTCTATTACATACATTTAGTTTAAACTGTATTTTATTTTGTGAAATGAGTACAGTACAAAAGCAAATATGCATTTTGGATTCAGAAACAAGTACAATGTACTTATATTAATCTGTCTCCGTGTCTAATTACATGAGCAATGGACAGCACTGACAACATAATGTAATTAAGTAGGTGCATAAGTACAGGGAAGGGGAAAAGAAAGGGTGCATGGGTTCAAAGGAGGAAACCGTTGTAGGATGACGAAGCAAGAGTTTAGGACTGCTATAGATCTATATTTGATTGTGGTTCACTCAACAAAGTACAATATACCACGACCAGGTCAGTACTGTAATTGAGATTACTTCGCAGTATACACAAACTCACTAGTTACGCTAGAGCTTAATTAAAACGTTTAGAACGGTTAATAAAGTTTTGGACACAGTCAAAAATATTTTCATTGTACTGATCTGGCATATCAGGGTTACCATATAATAAGGTATTAACATTAATGTCGGGGGGTATGTTACTGAAGCATTGCATTCTGATATAATGGTAGTTAGGGCACTGGAGGAGGAAGTGTTCAGTAGTTTCGTCGGACTGGTTACATGAACATAGAGAGTTGTTAACAAGATTACGAGAATATAAGTGTGCGTTTAGTGAGCTACAGTGCATCCTAAGTCGAGCATGGTGAATCTGGCCGTGTCTAGATTTACAGAAGTAATACATACATTTGTTAGACCACAACAGTACAGACTTACAAATTTCATACAATGCTTACATTCTATGTTGAACCAAGAATTCTCTGATGTTTTAATAACACGACCACGCAATTTATGACAAGGGCACTTAAAGCTCGGAACTTCTTTTTTCTACAGCAAAACCGGTCAAACAAGAAATGAACATTGTTAATTAAAATTTCAAGGCAACGATCAATACTTTCACTAGAATCGCAAACTTCATTTACAGAATCATTGAGCAGATAGCTGTTTTCAGTTTCTAGATTTTAGATTTAAACATATTTATTGCCCAAAATTGAGCAGAGGATTAGGCACAAGTTATTTTAACTAATGGCTGCCTTTTCCGCTAATACAATACATGATGATATTTTACATGATAACATTAACAAGGCATACCTAATATATTTAACAGTACATTTCACTTAAAATCTGTTGCTGGATTTGATAAAAATTTGCACGTGTCTGAATACTTCTGTATTGGTAGTTAGGGACAGATTTTCATTTCCAAATAAAAATAGATGTAAAGAAGCACACGATGGGTTATCAACAATCTTTACACGGAACAAATTACTTTTCAAAGAGCTGCACTGATATCTGAGTCTCGTATGCAATATATTTAGATCACGTTCGCCAAAATCATAATAAGATGGAGGACAAGAATTAGCGTCATTAGATAAAGAAGATTTAAAAGCATTCAAAGATGGTAATGTTCTTATTGAACTGTCTAGCGAATTCCACAGACGTAAACTTGATGGCAGAAAAGAAGAGTTACTTAGGGAAAGTCTGAAAGAAGGAATGATATAATCATGTTGGTTCCGTAAGTTATACTGATTGTTGTAACCCACTGTGTTTGGCAATTGGGCCGATAAATAAGAAGGGGGTTAAATTATTTATCATTTTGTATAATACATTTAAAGCCCCAATATACGTAACATTCACCAAAAATTTAGTGTAAAATCACACATAATTATTGAGATATTCTCTAAGATGTAGTTAAAATTGAGTTATTCAAACAACAGTTACCATGACTTTGTGCATAAAGTATTGATATATGAGCAGGTGACACTCATTATTTGTAAACACACCTCCATTTTAAACACGCCGCCATCGAAATTACGATTGTTGCCGAACCACGTCGGAAAGTTCATGACCTGATCTCGCGCGAGTTGAGGTTTCTACTTTAGAGGAAACACATGCAGATATGTCTACGGTAAGGTTTTGTTTACAAACATTGTTTGCGAAGTCTTGTCGTAGACTTGAGGTATTCCTGTGATAAACATTAAGTTTTTGGGAAATTATTAGAAGGAATAATTAGTTTAGAAACGATACGACGCACAATTATAACGTAAGAATTCAGAACTGGCCTGATGTATGATTGGAAAAAAAGGAAGCGACTGGTGAACATCTGTACTGTGTCTGCCATGTTTACACACGTGGAATATGCGCATGCGCCATGTCATCTCTACGAGCGGTAATGTATGAATTATTGTGGGTCCCACATTGTTTGTTTCCTATTTTTTTCATTTTTTATTTAAATTGAAAACAGTCAGTTTTATTTTCTTTATAGGAAAGTGTTTGTTTTGTTACATATATTACGGGGAAAATAAGATAAAGTTTGTTTTTTATAGTGATTTTTACGTATATTGGGGCTTTAACTTGCGTGTTTTCCTTCTCTCTGATAATGTTTCCAATCCCGTTTCAAAAAATA